TCCTAAAGGTGTGTCAAAAGGGGCTAATACAACATTAAATATGGTTTATCAAGCAATTAAAACATTTGCTAAAGATGGAAAAAAAGATTTACATATTACATGTGATAATTGTATCGCACAAAATAAAAACAATTTATCACTTTTTTTTTGGTCTTGGTTGAGTATGTTAGGTTGGTATAATAATATAACAATTAACTTTATGATACCAGGTCATACAAAATTCATTTGTGATTCATTTTTTGGACATATAAAAAAAACTTATCGAAATCAAAAAGTTAATACTGTAGATGATATTGAAGATATTGTAAATAATTCATCAAAAGGTAATGAAGGACTTAGGTATAATGGTGGAATTGGATGGAAGTGGTTTGATTTTCAAAATTTTTTTTCAAAAAATAATTTTATAAATTTACCCCATATAACAAAATATCATCATTTTCGTTTTAGTAATTTATCAGAAGATTTAGGAAAAGTTTATTGTTCTGAAAATTCTGGTGGTGTTGAAATTTGCCATAAGCTTTTACGTGATGATAATAATTTTAATATAAATGAAAAATTAGATATTTTGGATGTTATGCATATATCTGAAGAAAGAAAAAAATATTTATATCAAAAAATTCGTCAACATATAGAAGATCCATACAAAGATGTTTATTATCTTTGATATATTTGTATTTTTTATTATTTTTCTTAAATAAAAAAAGAAATTACTAATTTAAAGTTATAAATTCCTTAAAAAATTAATTTACTACCTATTGATCAATTGAAATAACTACCTATCAATGCTGAATTGATTAATATTAGATGTATTATGATGAGATAAGTCTAATAAGCTATTATCTGTCTTTGTATGATCGATAGGTAATGAATTACGGTACTTCGATTTTTCAAAAAAAATGTATGTCGATCATTTCCAAATCTATTTTTAGATTTTATGGCTGATTGTTACACAAAAAATTGATGATTTTTAAACTTCGATTTACTAATTTTGATAATAAGATAATATGCTATAAAATTTGCACCAAATGATTCTCATATGTCACAGATTCAGATGCACAAAAAATCTCAATTTTGGTAAAAAATATCTCTAACCCTTATTTTCCTAGCACAAAACCCAAATAAAGAAAATAAATAATAATAAATAAATAAATTAAAATAACTATAAAAACGATATATAAGTAAATCTTTCAAATAAAATCAATATCTTTAATATAGTTAACCGATATACACAAATCAACAATTATCATACATCGGCGTAAATCGTCTTATAACACCGGAAATCGACATGTACACAAATGTACCGAATTTCATCGGATCACCATATAATATCAGAAATCACATGTGCAAAATTTCGTGTAACATCATCCCTCTTGAAACGTGAGCTCCCGCGAACGAGAACACCATCGAATATTATCCGATATCCGACATCTCCAATGATCTACTGATATAAGGACGAAGTTGGTTGGCATGCACCCGCTTCTTACGAATTTTCCCATTGATTGTTCGTAATTGATAATTTCCATTGTTATGACGATCATGTATATAATACGGTCCATTCCATTTCGTGTCCATCTTCTTTGGTCGGAAATTCTTCAACAATACTTGTTCTCCAATAGCATATTGTCTAGGATGAATTTGAGCATCATATCGTTGTTTTTGTTTCTCTTGACTAGTATGCACATTACTTCTAGCTAACTGACGATTGTCCTCTAAGGGTCCTATCAACATCCGAATCCTTTGGTAAAACTGTTCCTGAAAATCTTCAACTTGTTGATTTTGTTGAACATCTGATCTGATAACCGTAGGATCACTAGGCAATTTCAATTCAATCGACAAAGTTGCTTCCCTTCCGTAAGTAAGGTAGAAAGGTTCAAATCGGGTGGTTTGTTGTCGGATGGTTCTATATGCAAACAACGCAGAAGGCAGATATAGGTCCCAATTCGATTGATCCTCCATAGAATATTTTGCCAAAGTCTCACATAATGTTCGATTGAATCGTTCGGTCAACCCGTTAGTTTGTGGTCGATATGCGGTTGACAAGTGATGTTTAATACCTAGTCGAGTACATAACGAATCTAAAAGTTCGTTTACGAAATGTGTCCCTTGGTTGGTCAAAAGAACTTTCAGACATCCATGTCTACAAATAACGTCCTCATAAAAGAAAGAAACAACAGACGCGGCCTTGGCATCTGATAATGCTCGAGCTTCAGGCCACTTCGTTAAGTATTCGGTTAATACAACAATATACTTATTTCTACGAGTGGTAATAGGTAACGGGCCAACAATATCCATCCCAACATGGTCGAAGGGTTGTCCGATCTTTATAGGGTGAAGAGGTTCATTTCTTAATAGTCTTTTTCGTCGTTGACATATATCACACGATTGGACATAACTTCTAATATCGTTTCCCATCTGTGGCCAAAAATATCGTAAACTAATAGCACGATAGGTTTCGGAAAATCCAAAATGTCCTGCAAGTGGATCTTCGTGAAAATTATATAACACAGTGGCCAGTTCACTTTTCTTTAATACACGTAAAGGTCGAATAGGGTTTTCCTTATTCTTTTTATACAATAAGCCATCTATCGAAACATAATAATGGGCCTTTCGTTTAAAAGCGCGGCGTTGGGCAGCATCATTATTATCAGGCAATTCTAAAGATTCCAAATAGCGTAAAATGTTAAAATATGTGGTGAAATCCATAGGTTGGGTTGAAATCAAAAAAAAAAATATAATCCAAAAATCGGCGTCGGTAATAATGGGGAATGGTAAAAAGATGATTTAGGTATATATCTAGATTCTTATCCTAGATAGGCTATCAACGTTGAGGTGCTTCCTTCCGAAGCGATGTGTAGTTTCAAAATCATACATTTGGAGCTTCATGACCCAATGGGCCAATCTTCCGATAGGGGTAGCCATATTAAATAAATGACATAACGCTTCATGGTCAGTGACCAATTTGAATCGTTGCCCATAGATATATGCATGGAAATGTTTTACTGCCCATATTACGGCAAGGCATTCCAATTCGGTTGCCGAGTAATTACTTTCTGCCTTATTACAGGTACGACTAGCGTACGCAATCACACGATCGTTTCCATCTTCATCCAATTGGGATAATATCACGCCCAACCCAAAGGTCGAAGCATCCGTTAATAATATGAACTGTTTGTTAAAATCGGGAAAGACAAGGATAGGTGAGGTGATCAAGGTCTGTTTCAACTGTTCGAACGCAACTTGCTGTTTTTCACCCCAATTATATGCAACTCCTTTCTTCAACAGCTTATTTAAAGGTGTTGCAATACGAGAAAATCCAGGCACAAATCGTCGGTAATAAGAAGCGAGCCCAAAGAATCCTCGTAGTTGAGTAACATTCAATGGAGTAGGGAAGTCCTTCACTTTTTGTATTTTAGCAGGATCGGTTCGGATTCCTCTATTACTAACAATATGTCCTAAAAACTCCAGTTCTTCCTTCACGAATGAACACTTATCGGGATTTAACTTCAAGCCAGCATCTTCCAATCGATCAAAAATAACTCGAAGATGTTCCAGGTGTTGTTCAAAGGTATCCGAATAGATGATGACATCATCTAAATACACCATCACGAATTTCCAAAGGTAACCTCGTAAGACTTCATCCATCAGATGCTAAAATGTAGCCGGAGCGTTACATAAGCCGAATGGCATTACTTTGAACTGGTAAGTGCCGAATTGTATAATAAAAGCGGTTTTGGGTCTATCTGCTGGGTCCATCTCTACTTGCCAATATTCACTGGCCAAATTGAGAGACGTAAACCACTGTGCTTTTCCAAACGAATTGAGCATATCATCGATCCGAGGAAGAGGATAAGCATCCTTCATAGTAATACTATTCAACTCTCGATAGTCAACGCAAAAACGCAGCTTTCTGTTTTTCTTCCGAACTAAGACTACCGGAGCGGCCCATGGACCTGTTGATCTTTCAATTAGTCCCTCTTGTAACATACGTTGAATTTCTTCCTCAATGAAATTCCGCTCATTTTTGGACGTGCGATACCAATGTTTTCGTACCGCCTTATTGTTACCAGTATCGATGGAATGTCAGATTAATTTAGTTCGACCTAACTCAGAAGAACTCCACGCAAAATTACCATGACGTTGAACAAGAAATCGAAGTAATGGTAATTCTAAATCAGTAGGGAGGACTCCGATTTTCATCTTAACGGTAGTAGGAGTAGTTTCCACTTCAGATCCTATTTCCGTATGATAATATTCGACTTCTTTGGTAATTTGCTCATACTCCAGATGCGTCTTCTGCCTACAGTGATAGCATAACTGTCAGTCATTTTCAGCGGCAACCTTCTCCATGATTAGTTAATTGTAAGGTTGATTGGTTAATGCAAATTCTCATTGTTCCTCGGAAGGTACAACTCCATCATCACATCGTTCTCTACTCAATTCTTTTAGGATGGTTGGTGAGAGTCGGCATACTGATTGATAGGTTATCAAATCATCTTGACAGAAATAACAGGCGTCTTCCGGGGAGTATAATGAATTTCAACACCAACATTTAGCTTTCGGTCCCTTCCAATCATATACCCAAGTTGCTTTCTTAGGAGGCGTCGTCTTGAACTTTTGATTCAAATGTTGAAGATGTCCCCACGTATGGAAACATTTACCAAGGTAAATTCCTTCATTGGTTAATACAAAATCTTCACATGGATATATGGCGTCTATAACAACGTTAGCGAACTTGCAGTCTAATAATACTGAAGATTCCGGAAGTGGATCTCGCTTCCGAACTTCAGCTTTCTTTTTACTATTACGATACCGAATACGCATCGGACGTCTAGGTTTTTCAAACTGCATAGTGAAGAACACTCGTTCTTCTGGTTCATCGTCTTCGAACTCCTCCTCTTCTTCTTTAATGGAGTCATCATCAGTTTCCTCTTCGTCGGTATCTTCTTTTTCCGATCCATCATCATCTTCTTTCGGTTGACTACTTGAATCAATAAGGCCTTATAGCTTCTTTTTCTTCTGAGGCATGAGCCGATATTCAACTGGCACTCTGATGGTCTGCTTATTCCAAGTGAGGTTCATGGTAGACGATTCATAGTCGATATTAGCCCTGACTTTGCTTAACCAATCATTTCCAACAATTGCAGCATAAGATTCAGCTTCAGTAACTACTACGTTAATTCGAACAGTAATATTTTGAATGGTGATGGGGAAATTCAACACTTCTCCTAACGGTCGTTTTCGTTCACCATTCACATTAATCATCATGGTGGTCGATGGTCTATCGATAGGGATCTTAAGGTCTTTTAATAATTGACATGACACAATACTTCCGGCGGCACCACTATCGATAATCAACGGAATCTCAGTGCCTTTCACCGTTGCATCACAGTACAACGCGGTGGCCGTATCTTCTGTTTCCTGTTCACCGAGATTCATCTTTCGAACCGTGGGTTTTCGTATTCCTCGTATTAGTTCTGAATGACACTTTGGCGCAACTTCCAATAATTGTCCGAAGGTGATACGAGCTTGTTGATTCTTGATGTCGTCTACCATCGAATAAGGTGGTACATGTAGTGATATCAAGGGCTGAAGATTCACTTTCATCAGGAAGTTACGGGAAAATTGTTCATCAAATGTATATCGGTCACTTGATGTACATTATAA